GGGTTTTTCTCCTACCTTGGGTTTTACCATAGCGAGGTTTTGTGAGTTTTACTTTTTTTATGCATTCTTCCGTTAATCTGAGACTCGCATTCACTCATTATGCCAACGACTTCATCAACTGTACTTGCTTCATCACTAAAGACCTAATATGCCATTTACTTGAGTATTTACACACTCAAAAGGGAGTGTTGCAGTCTTATTAGATTAGGAATATGATTGTGTAAATTCTAGTAGATCTAGGAATATGTCTTATATTCCTACTAGGAGTTTATTACCTATTAAGAGTTGTAATCCTAAAATGGTAAGGATTTTAGCTATCCTACTACTATAAATAAAGGTACAATGGGGTGGAATAAAACATACCTCAATTACGTCTCTCTCTTCTTTCTCTATACTGCAACTTCCCTCTCTCTCTAGCCTGTATAATTGTTCAGTAAATTATGCCTACAACAGTCATTTCAATTTCCATTATTTTAAAATTCATTAATCCTTATTAATCTTAGATTTATTCATTCAAACACATATAAATTTAAGATACGGAATACTATATCTTATCCATATATCACTTCTCTTCCGTTTAGGGATTCTACATTGTGTTAGGATTGGGGAACTTTATTTTTCAACACACATTCTCACTCCGTAACTTTTTTCAAGAATCTGATAATATCTATTTTCAATTCATCATTCGTAGGTTATTTTTGTAAAAAAAAAAAAATCAGATATATCCAAAACTATTAAGAGTAGTAAAGAAAATGAATAAATACGATTCTGTAAAGAAACACTAAAATTATTAACATTTAATGCAAACGGGAATATAGGTGATTTTTGGTAATGTATTTACATGTTCCATTCAACTTTAAGTTAATGATGCTAGTGGAATTTCAGAACTTGGAAAATGCCTTCTCTTATGTCGGCAGATTTGGAAAATGCCTTCTCTGACGTTTTGTACTCCTCGCCTGGCAAGAGTCTCGACGACAACTTCAATTTGTGACGAGGAGTACTTATATGTGAATGATGACTTCGATAAATTTTGACAGTTCAGTCAAGGATGAATTTTGAGAATGGGAAATGGCTAATTTTCAAAAATTTCTTGAAAATTGTAGGTAAGGTTTCAATGGGGGCAAGAAATAGCTAATTTTCAAACTTTTCCTACAATATGTAGTCATTTGACACCCTCACTCAATCATTTTTCTTGCATAAACTTGGATAAGCTCAATCAAACTCTCGTCATGAGATTTAAACTCTAGCCCTTCTATAACAAAGTGAAAACAGGTGCCGCTAGACCAAATGGCTTGGTGGTAGACAATTAAGGAATCACTTACCATTTACATGTCTCATAAATTGTTCAACTACCAAGTATTCATCCTTTCCTACGATGGCATATAACAAAGTCTCAAACATATCAAACACAATCTTCACTTTTAACTACTAATGTCATGCCTCGATCCCGATATACGTCCAAGATCGACGTGCTACAGTAGACTGTTGGGGGATGCCAGGAAATACAAACTGGAATACTGAATTGAAAATAACAATAGTTACAATTGTTTAAGGAAAAGTACAGGGGTCACCTAACACTCCAAATTCTCTGAACTCTGTCTGCTACCCCAAAGCTCCTTGTATCTACTAAAACCTGCACAATCGCTCCTACACCATGGGAATGGTGCACCAGGCAAACAACTACCCGGATAAGCTGCAAAACTCGTGTGAGTGATAATAATTCAACGTATGTGATAATATTAAAAACCATCAATCGATCACGGTTATAAACGTCAAATATAAAATCATATTTTATGAAATCATCATCAAGTCACTGAAAATCCTGAAAGAGTCACCCAGACATCCAACGGCTCGTCTGAAACAAGTCACAAAAGCTCACAACCATAAATTCATATAATACAATGAAACATAGGGCTAAAGCGACACAGTTCAGCCGAAGCCTACATCTCTGAAGCTATCTTAATCCAAACTCAATTCAAAGAATCAACAAAGCAATTAATCTGGTTCCGAACCTCTCAACAGAACGATAATACCAAATGGGATTCCGAACCACTCAACGGAATCGCGGAGTAGAAAGGATTCTGGACCTCTTAACGGAATCCGAGTGGATACGATTCTGGACCTCTCAACGGAATCCAGACGGAGCAGGGAACCGGACCACTCAATGGAACACTAGCGGAAACTTAGTTCCGAATCACTCAACGGAACCGAGCGGAAGGCCAACAACCATAATGTACAACGGCTCAAAGAAACGAGACAAGGCACAAGTTACTCAATTTACAAAAGCTCAACAAAGTGAAACAAGGTACAAATACTAAATTTAGAACGAATCAACGAAGCGAGAAATGAAATAATGAAATGGGTTATGAAACAAGCTTTGAAGCAACAAACCCCATGGCAATGGGTTAACGGTCCACTACTAGCCCTCACATTTCATCACACATGCCAATCGTACAATTTAAACCATATTTCAAATATACACATCAAATCTTATTTCATAAACATAAATCGATGGCTAAGTATTAAAAATAACAATTCAATAGAAAACACATTTAGAAAACCAAGTCATATCCACATAGGATAACAATTATGAAAACAGGGTAATCACCAATATCACATACATTAAAGGCACTCACCTGGAGTCCGCACTAACGCACCCTAGCACAAGAATTGAGACATCACGCACTATCGTCGCCGAAAACAAATTACAAGTCCACATTTAGATTTCCTTCGATAATTCACATACTCAAAAACTCTCATATGCCTGCCACAACAACATTTAATGAGAATCAAACCGTCGTTCAAAGGTAGGGTCCATGATCCTACGTCACTTACTCCATAAGATCCAACCACTATATTTTCGATTCGCAAGTTCCTAAGGTCCATAAATAATACGTACTATAATGTATCAAAGTTTGGTGACTATCCAACGGTCGGATCGTCGATTGCTATAATGTTCAAGTGGCGGACTTTAAAGAAATTTTGCCGGATTCTACAGATTTTGCAGATTTTCTGAGCAATCTTTAGAACTCCATATCTCACCCAAATTCGACCCATAATGTACCAAAACGAAGCTAGGGAAGTGTAGAACAAGATTATATCAGGTTGAAGTCCAAATGGTGGCCGGAGGTGGCCGGAAAATGGCCTGAAAGAGGGTTGTCCGCGGGAAAAACTGGTAACTCGCCGGAATTTCTGGGCAAACTTTAAACGTCCGTAACTTTGTTAATGCTCAACGAAATCAAGTGACTCAAAAATGAAAATCGTAGTTCTCGACAAGACAAAGACAAAGAGATTGGTACCTTGCACATCAGCTAACTCACCGTGTTTTGGCCGGAAAATGGTCTAGAAGGTCACGTTTTCGCCGGAAACTGGGCAAACTTTAAATCGTTAGAACTTTCTCATTTTTCAACCAAATCACACGATCCAAACATGAAAATTTATCTAATCAACGTGAAGAATCGATTTATGCCTGTTTTGAGTTCAAAAGATGGCTGGAAATTGCCTGAATTACGCCTAGAAGTCTCGGTCCAAAACCTTGTTCTTTGAACTCGAGGTTGGGATTCGTTTTCAATGGAACAAAACTCAAAACTGGGTTTATTTGGTGAAGACATGCAGATAATGGTGGTTTTGGTGTTCAACAAGCTAAAATTTTTGGTGATGATGGTGGTTTGTTTCACTGGGAGAAAAGGGAGAGCCGAGAGAGAGTTAGGGACTTAGAGAGAGTGAAGAGTTACGGGAAAGAAGAGGAAGGAGAGAGGGTTCTAGAAAAGTGGGGGTGGCCCATGTGGGACTCATCCAATGATCAGACAAAAATATCACACGTTCAACTAATTATCAATTTACCAAAATATCCTCGACGTTCAAAACCTCATAAAATCTTCGTTATAATTCCGAATCACAATCCGTTTACACCCACGCGTTCGTATCAACGAGTACTATCCAAATGTATAAAGAGAAGTGGAACGATACGTAGGGATCAAATATGCTGTAAATATAAAAGCATCGCAACTAAGAATACGAAATACGGAATACGTAATTTTAAACAGTGAAATCCAGGAACGGGATTTCACAACTACTCTGCCAACCATAGTAACAAAAAAGTTTTGGATTGTCATTTCTTTTCAAAGAGGAAGAAAAGGGTTCAGACATATCGGTGGAATGCAAATACGAAGTAAGCATGGAAGAAAACAACAGATGTCAAAGTAACTTGAAGAAAATGGATAAACTGAGATAGCGTAACAACAAAAAATTGAACAAAAATTATGTAAAAGTCAGCGTAAGGCAAGTTAGCAATGGTTTTTTATTTACTGGGAAAAAACATTGAAGATTGAAAATCCAGATGAATATGGAAAATAAGATGTTGATCCAGGAAAAGAAGATACGTTAAACCAGGAAAGTCTCACTGAAGAAATATATGCTCTAAATGCAAAATTCACATCTCAGTACCTAGACAAAAATACATCTTGACCACAATGTAGAATACCTCAACCTACAAGCTAGTAAAAATATCAAGCACACATCAAAATTTAACAAATTGAAGAAAAAACTAAGTTCCCAAGTACAGAAATGGCTAACGAATTTAAATTAAATGTACGGAAATCATCCTTAGTTTAGGTTCATGGCGACATGTATCTCACATTGTAGGCTTCTAGAATAAATACTAGGATCTAAATCTACACAGAAAATTGCCCAGAGAATATCTAGATAGAAACTATAAGTAACAGACGTGTGTGCGTGTGCCTGTGCCTGTGCATGTGCAAACAAACGGTGATATGCTTCTGCCATGAAGTTTGACATATTATGTTCCCAAACTATCAATCTGGAATACTGCTGAAGCAGATTCTCATTTAGGAGCATAATTTTTTGACTAGATATCTGCTAGCAAGGGAATATTACCCTCTAAACAAAACTGAATATGTATTGACACATTTCTGAAGCACATACAGTAAGGCTAAACAAGAAGCTGATAGATTTCGACCCAAAAAAAAAAATCAAGAAGCTGATAGGTAACATTTCATTATCTTGGTCGAGAAAACTGTAAATTGTGACAAAAAGAACATTATCAACTATCAAGCATCGAATTTATAAAAACAAATCATTAGACAATAACGCTTTCAATTTATTAAAATAAACAATTAAGCTGTAGACGAGAAACACAACTTGAAAAATAAATAGGAAGCAGCATACTACCCATGTGTCCCTACTTCGATCTTTTTGGAGCAAATCTTATGCAGGATCATGGAAGTATGAAACATCTCCAGATGCAGGCATGTTAAGAGAACCAAATTCTGAGCCAGGGAAATGCTATCTCAGCAACAATTAATCCTAGTCAATCAGATACATGCACAAGGAACCATCTGGGAAGGGCCACGTCAGATCGCAGAAACCAGTAACATTCTTTTGTGTTAATCTAAAAAGAATCTTCAACAACCCATAACTGCACAGTTGTACACAAACACCCCAACGTGCTCTTTCACACCGATAACTTTCCAATCCAAAGTGCCATTCTTGATCCCTGACTTCGGAGACCATGAGTTCAGAACAATACCTTCACCTTCGGGACCTCGTTGCCCACCCACGACAAGAAGTTCCTTTCCACAAGCCTTGAAGGCCAGGCCCCAGCCATTTGAAGAGTCAGCCCTCACTGGAAGTCTTCCTAAAACATCCCAGGTGTTCTTCCCCTTGTCATACTTCTTCACCATGTTGGTTAAATACTCAACTGCATACAATTGGTTATCAACAACTGCACAAAGAGGAGGAGCCTGTGCAGCTATATTGACAGATGGATACATACCCTCAATTTTCCTCCATTTCCCCGTCTCAAGATCATATTCCTCCCCACAAGTCAGTGAATCATTAGGACTTGACATTCCACCCATAACGTAGAATTTGCCATCCCAGAAAAAACCAGTACACAATCTACGTGGTGTGTGCATGTTGGGTAGCATCTCCCACCTACCCGATACGGAATCATATATCTCTGCTGATTTCAAAACATTTCCATTCCTATCACTCCCACCCGCAACAATAGCAATTGAACCAAGGCTACCAGACCCAAACAAACAGCGGGGCTGGTTCATTCCCTGACATTTTATCCAGCTACGATGTATTGCACTATACTTCCAAAGAGCAAAATCCAACAGTTCGCGGCCAAAAACCAACAACTGACTTCCTACAGCTAAAGACTCCTTATCCGCATGATTGAAACACTCATCACAAGGCATCTTAGGCAATGTCATCCATTTCTTTCTCACTGGATCAAATGCCTCCCACCCTCTTAAATCACACACCAGATACACCCAATGCTCCACAATTCCCAACTGCTCCCTCAACCCATACAAATACCCACTTTTAATTAACTTATTAAACCTTGTATTAATACATGACAGCGAAGCATAATCCGATCTAGAAGCCCAAGCAAGGCAATTCAAAACTACATCGTCAACAAGACCAGGGACAAGCGAATCACTTGATCCACACCTACGACGACCATCACTCATTCTCCCCTTCAAATTCGAAATAACATTTGCTCTCTCATCTTTTTCTTCTTTCCCATACTGAGCCACCGGGGAAGGCATGTTTCTCATGTTAACAAAACTTCAGTATATCCCAATCAAAACTCCCAAACAAAAAACAATCTTTATACAGGTTCCAAAAAAATCCCTACTACACAAATCTCGAATCAATCAACCCCCGATACCCAAAAAACAAATCCTTTCTTTGCAGGCAATTGATTTCCGTTGATTTAGTCCTTCCTATCAATCAAAGAAAAGTCAACATTCCAAGGCAAACTCCATTCTTAATTTCTATATCGAAAACGAAATTCGAACAATCTCAAAGCCATCCCCAATCGGATTCACAGTACAAACAAATATTGCAAACAAAATGGTTCAGAAATCTGCTTATTTCACCAAACGATCGAGAATTCCAACAACTTTTTCTCGGATGATTTCCGTCAATCCAAACACAAAAATCTGCATATTCACAAAATCAAGCACAAATTCAATACCAAAGACACAAATTTTACGAAAGAAAAAACACACATCATCAACAGCAAGCAAACAAAATCAATAAAACTATGCACAGAGCTAAGGTCCGATCCGAATCGGTAGTGGTTCGGATCTCGCCCAAAAGAGCTGAGAAAAACAACAGCTTCAAGGAATAAAGACGAAAATAAACGAAATGTTTGCGTACCTGGAAAGTGAGAAGAATCGATTTCGGATCTCAACAGTCAGGTCGCCGGCGAGTTTGGCCGGAAATTTTCCGTCGGCATATTGCCGGAGTCCGGGAGGGAGAGAAAGAGATGAGGAGAGCGAGGAGAGCGTGAAAGAGGGTTGAAGTAAGTCATATATAGCTGAGCTGAGGACAAAGGTTGGGGTAGATTTTACTCTGAATATAAAAAGACTTAAATGTCAAAATCGTACATATGTTTTATCCTATCGGTTACTTTGGACCTTATGATTTTAAGTTGGTCGAATTGGTACCTGTTTACCTTCATTAACCAATCTTAAACAATCCAATAAAGAACCGGTAAATTGAGATGTGCCTTGCCCATGTGAGTATAAATATATAATTCCACCATATGCTGATTAAATCCATGTAAGTTTAGATAATTGATGACAACGTCGCGTAAATGTTTTCTTTGTTTTCCATGTGAATAGCAAACTTTGTCAAGAGTCTTTGCTATATATTTTTTTATACAATCATATTTTACTTTGAAGTACAGTAATTTTTTTCGAAGGTAAATTTCATTACCAACACAACAAATATACATAATAGAAGGATCGACTACAAGTTTAGCACAAAACAAGATATGAGCCCTCCAAGCAAAACAAAACCCAAACAGCTTCAAGATCCTTGTTGTACATTCACAAGCTTTCATGAATAACTCGTTAAATCCAATAATACTTTAGGCATACCCAAACTGGAGTGTGACATGTTGCATCATCAAATGATTAAGAAGGTATCTATAACATAACCATAATGTCTCGAAACGTATTAAAAATAATGAAATAATGCCCGATCGTGTCATCATTTATTTGGACAAACGATAGCGCTAGTAAGTTAAATTGTTAAATGTTAAGAATGAAGATGATCAATATAGATCGAACTTATATCAAAATACATAAAAATTATTACTTTTAGTCACTGCAGTAAAATGTCATATGAAACATATCAAATGCAAAACTATATTTTTGTATAGCATGATCCAATTCTTTACGACTTTGAGGACCATAATATTCTTGTAATCCATAGCAAGGAGCCGCATGGACTTTTCTTAAAGTTACAAAGCACACGTTTCTCTGTCATTCCTCAAGATAATCGTCAAATGTGGATAAAGTGACCCTTTTGCAGTTGGTCAAATCTGAATGGCAATCTTTGGTCAAATTACGCATGGTAAACTCGGCAACCATAGCAAGCAGTCAATATGGCGGCGTTGAGTGGGTTTTGAAAATGATGGTAAAAAGTAACTCGTTACTCAACCAGGAAAAGAAATCCTCTCTAGATTCTTTCCTTCGGATCCATTCATTCAAATCCATCTAATCATCTAATTTGAATATTTGAAATTTGATCTAACAGCTAAAGTTATTATAATTTTTAAAAGGGCCATTGTTTGTAGCCGTTTGATCAAATTTCAAGAATCTGAATTGATTGATTGGGTGTATTTGGTAGAAAGGATTTGGTGATGATCCATTTTCCTCAACCAGCTAAACAACTACCACATGTACAAAAACTTTACAGTCACCCATATTAATCTGTCACAAAGCGATAGATATAACAGATTTGTATTATTGACTACAAAAGGCCACTGCCGAATAGTGAGGTCACATAAAGTTATCGCAGAAGCGAAATCACATAAAGTCGCCACGAAAGTGAAACCACATAAAATCATCGTAGGTAAATGAGACCAGATAATACATCCCTCAACGCCAAAGCCATATCTAGCCATTGAAGCAGCACAACCACAACACTCATTAGGCAAGATAACAACCGGCTACATCATGTGATCACAAAATATATTTTAAATAAATATTCCTCTCTCTAGGACAAGCCAATTAAGTACAATGAGCAGCTGTAACCAATGGAAAGCATACAAGTACAAGAAACTCATCAAAATGTCAAAAGACGCAGCCTTTTCCATGCAAAGTACAATTTGGAGGGTGCCAAAGCCACCATAACTTTTTTTTCTCGGTTGGTAAATAGGTCGGGCACGAACGAAATCCACTTATTAATTTCTTTTCTTTTTTTTGGAAACTTTTTTCAATACTCACTCCAATTGCCAATAGGTCGGGCTAGATATTTTTCTACCTCTTGCATTCTCTTGTAAAACTTCCGTTTAAACAGGGCGAGAAGAGAATATTTCATCGTATATAATCGACACTCGCTAGTATATAAGTAACATGCATCTTGCTACTCTATTAATTTTTATCCAATAACCTAAACTTGATGTGTAATTTTATTCACATATTAACTACCTGATTGCATGAAAGTGTTAAAACATATGACCTCGAGTAATTTATTAGCAAGCATATATTGCTTCTAATTATTAGAAAATAAAGATGAATTCAGAGCATTTTAATGGGCTCCTAAATGAGCTCTTAGCTAAAATATAGGGAGAAGTAGGAAAATTTCATCTTCAATCATACTATCATGCTCCTGGAATTGCAAAATTTCTAAAAGCTTCTAAATTTAGAATTTTTTTTTAAAATCCTTCTTAAATTTTAGTTAAGAGCTCATTGGAGATATTCGATGATTTTGATATACAAAAACATTATGTGAATGTGAAAAAATAAAAGAAATATTCAAAGGAAAACTTTAGCAATGACTCATGAACTATAGACCTTCCACTTAACTTAACCCAACGAACATTCGATTTGGTTTTGAGCTAAACTTATTTTCTACTAACGATATGTCACAATTTTTCATAATTCCATTAAGTGTTAAGTACATAACCAACTTTTAGAGGCATATGAATTCCACAATTTATCATAAGAACTAAAAAGATTTAAGAGCTATCAAGACGAAATTGAAAATTCGAAGTTCAAAATGGAACAAAATTTATAATTCAGAGAGCTAACCTTTACTTTGGTCGAGTAACTAAGAACTAGTTGACGAAGTTATCCTATTATTTGAGTGACAATAATTATTTTTGGGTGAAAATAAACTATAAAAATACTAAAAAATGGGACAAAATCCTCTTTGTTTTAATTTTCTTTGTATAATCAATATTTTGGAATTAGTATGTAATTCTTGTGGATTGAGGAGTGATGGGAAATAGGATTCCCTCTAGATCGTCTTTGTGGGATATAGATGATCAATCAATTGTGTTTGTTCATCATATATCGTACGGTTAGAAATTATTTTAAAATTTTAATTTAAAATTAAATATAAATAGTACCTAATAAAAACTAATCGCACGATGTACGATAAACAGACATGATTAATTGATCTCTGAATCCCCACAAAGATGATTCGGAGAAGATCCCTGCCCGAGTGATGGGCATGGAATGGGTCCATCGGAAAGTATATCTGTATTGTATGCCCTTACGGTTCTTTTTCTCATTCTATGCCTACATGTTAGAAAACCCCAGTGGTTTTCATTGATCCGAAGTATCTTCTACCACGCATGCAGATGGTCCCACTACATGTGGTTACTACTTACTGGTGTACCTGCACCACATCAGATTTCCCATTTCCACACCAGATTTTACTTTTAATCTTTGAGAGTTCTCAGAGAATTTCCGTGTAGGCAAATGAAATAGGCAAAATTGTACTATAATTGTTGACATGACAAATTATCTACTCAACTACCTCATTAAAAAAGCATGTCACTATAATAGAATATGAATTATTTTTGCTAATTATGTTATTTATCACCATTCGATAAGTTCAAGTAATGAGATCTGTGTAATACCTAAATATAAACATCAAAAATTAAGCTAAACCAATGACGATAAGTACGGATGCAAGCATTAACAACGCTTGAGGGTGGTAATAAAAAATACACCTAATGGAGTTGAGCAAATCAAGTAAGCAAATTTTATTATTTTATTTTCATGCTTACGTGGCTTATCAAAATGGGGTTGACTACCCATTTCCCTACTCCATTGGAGATTCTTTAACTACAAGTGTAAGTTAGATAGGAATATCCAATTCCGATCAATTTGAGCTGTCACGTCCTGATCCCGACGTACATCCAGGATCGACATGTGACGTCACCAAATACCTGTATATCTCACATACCTCGCCTCCCGGATATGGACAAAGCATAACTCAAGATTCGAATCGCATAGTACTTTTCCGTATACTTTATGGCTGCATCTAACCACCTCGTTAGACTGCCTAGGTACCCTGAACAGGGATCAAATCATTCGTAGTTCATCCTTCACTACACTCAAACAATCATCCCATAATTCACTTTTTTTTTCAACATGATACCTCCATCCACAACATGTATATCAAATAACCAACGAAGCACAGTAATATTCTTAAGCCACATTGATCAACTAAAATAATCATAATAATAACAATCATATCCAATGTCATTCCACAATCCCGTCAATTAATCAATTCATGACTCAAAGATGAATGATCTTAGCATTTAACTACGTTAATCAATCCATGCGAAAACCTGTCATTTCACGAATTTAATCAAGAAACTCTACATAATTCCCTACTTGGATTATAAGTAATTAAACATGGTGAATCAAATGAATCTTCACAAGGTCTTTTGTGGATAATTCCCATTCACTCAGGGTTCTAGACTAACCTTACGGAAATGATCAAAAGCAAGGATTTCAGACCACTTGATGGAATCCAAAATATCTAGCAGTTTCTCGTAATCTACCCAAATCTATCACATGTATAATCAGTGCCTACATCATGGGAATGGTGCACTGGGCAAATCAGAACTCGGATAAGCTGCGAATCTCGGGTGAGTGACAATGATAAAAATATGTGATAATCAATAAAAAGAAAGACCATCAATCACCGTTTATAAACCTCGAATATAAATCATTAGTAAGAAATCAATATCAAGTCTCTGAAATCTTCGAAGGAGTCACCCAGACATCCAACTGCTTTTCTAAGTCAAAACACAAAGTTCTCAAAACTATAGTTCATGAAAACACTAAAAACTAGGGCTAGAGTGACGCAGTTCGGCTGAAGCCTACATAAGTAACCAAACAGGAAGTGGCCCGTATCGCGGATTAACCAAGCAGAACCACCCCTGTAGTAACCAAGTAGGCAGTGACCCCCTATATAGGATTAACCAAGCAGAGTCACTCCTACGCATCTATTAGGCAGTGATCATCTATCGTGGATTAACCAAGCATGATCACCCTTAAGTATGTATGGCCATAAGGATCGCCTATCACGGATTAACCAAACACGATCCATAGAAAATATG